AAAGATGGCGACCGCGGGATGGGAGGGGTAGGGTTGTATTGGGGGCAAGATTGGGAGACGGAGAGGGTTGAGACCTGCGAAGCGGCAGAGGAGGAGTAGAGAGTTCAGGTGGAAGATCAGCTTGCCTTAGGTGTACCCAGGAAGACCTATAGGAAACTTGGGAGGGACCAAAGTACAAGAAGGTGATGGAGTAGGGATAGGAGTGGTTCCAGAGATGAGAAACAGCAGAATGTCAAAATTGAACCAAGGCTGGAAAGAGGAAAGACACCATCGTGTCACTTGGAGGATACGGAAAGAGTTTGACTCCAGAAATTAGTTCTAGATTTTCTGAGTGAGAAAGGGAAAATAAAGACTTAGAAGTCTGGAAAGGTTGTAGGCTGGAGATGCTTTATAGGAGAAGGCCCATAAGGAACTTTGGTGGCAGTGTCTGTGGTGAGATGACATTTATGTGGCTAAGCAATGTTGGATTACTTGGAAGAATCTTGTGCTTGCATCTTCTTGGCTTCCTTTAAGCCCTGTTAAGCCAGGAATGAATTAAATGTTCCCCTTCTCCTCAGTTTGAAGACATTAGGCAGAGGTAGCCCAGAGTGGGAGCCAGATTTTGGAGTCATTGGCCTTTCCACATCTAGTCCTTCCCCCCACCAAGACTTCTGTCCCCAGTCATGTTTCACTTCATTGTGCCCTCCTATTCTCATCTTCCTGGATTGTGACAGTGATTTCTCATTCTTTCCCTGTAGGAAATAAAAGGGTTTGTGTACCATTCCATTGCAATTCCAATAACTGGAATGGAACTGGTTCTTAGCTAAGTAGTGCTGATACTAATTAAAAACTAGTTATTCTGTACTTCCTAAGCAAAGAGGGGAGAGGCCAGATGGTACGCTGACTGCAGCTTGGAGCCTCCTGTATTAAAACCTCTAAACGGGTGTTTGGCCAGAGGTGCGAGAGTTGGTTAAGACAGTTCAAGGGGCCAGACCCAGATCCTTAGAACTTGTTTATATTTGGTATACACTTCTGTATGTAGAAACCTGGTAAACGGGATTCCTGCCCTCAGAACACAGATGATCTAGTTTGGGAGATGAGATAAACTCTGAGTAACTGTAAAACACTTATAATAATGTATAGTAAAACTTTATCCTGTTGAGTTGTGAGGAGCTCAGCATGACACAGATCTTTCTTAGATCTCCACCAAGGAGGAACTGGGAGTCTCCATCAGTTACACCGTCTCACCTGCAATGAGCTGTGGCCCAGACCTGAAAGTTGTCATGGAGCCATGTTTGTGAAAAATCAGAGTAGAGCAATATACTGAATGGGGCGTAATTAAGGGGTTGAGAGGGTTAGGGGAAGGCTTCCTAGAGTTTTCAGCCAGAGCTAGTAAGTGAATACTGTTACACTCCATTAAGGAGGAATTGAGCACGGAGGGTAGTCAAAAGAGATAGAAATAAAAGAGAAGAAAGCAGCTAGGCACCTCTAGAGCAGCCAGTCCTTGAAAGGGACTTCTGAAAACTCAGAGCTTTCCCCACTATTTCTGCTTTTCCTTCTCTTTCAGATGCCTCATCCCCGAAGGTACCACTCCTCAGAACGAGGTAGTCGGGGGAGTTACCATGAACACTATCGAAGCCGAAAGCATAAGAGACGAAGAAGCCGCTCTTGGTCAAGTAGCAGTGACCGGACACGACGGCATCGACGGGAAGACAGCTATCATGTTCGTTCCCGGAGGTGAGACCTCGTACTCAAGTTCACTCCTCCATTCATTCATTCAACAGAGATTTATTGGTTATATGCTAAGCACCTGGGTGAATGTGATACTCACGATGGATGACAAAATAAGGCATTTGCATTGTGATGTGAAGAATGTTATCACAGAGGAAGTAGGCAGTAAAGGGCTAAGGAAGCA